GGTCTCGATCTCCTGACCTCGTGATCCGCCCGCCTCGGCCTCCCAAAGTGCTGGGATTACAGGCATGAGCCACCGCGCCTGGCCAACCCCTGCCCTCCAACCTTTACAAAACTCAAAAGTAAAAAATTAGCTGGGTGTAGTGGTGTGTGCCTGTATCCTCAAGCGACTGAGGTGGGAGCATGACTTGAGCGTGGGAGTTTGAGGCTGCAATGAGGTATGATTGTGCCACTACACCCTAATCTAGGCCACAGAGCAAGAACCTGTCTCAAAAACAAAGGTTATCACTGGCCCAGCACTTTGGGAAGCTAAGGTAGGAGGATCGCTTGAGCCCGGGAGGTCCAGGCTGCAGTGAGGTATGATTCTACCACTTCACTCCAGCCTGCAAGTCTGTCTGTTTTTCTTTTTCTTTTGAGACGGAGTCTTGCTCTGTCGCCCAGGCTAGAGTGCAGTGGCACAATCTCGGCTCACTGCAGCCTCCGCCTCCCAGGTTCAAGCGATTCTCCTGCCTCAGCCTCCTGAGTAGCTGGGACTACAGGCATGCACCACCACGCCCGGATAATTTTTGTATTTTTAGTAGAGGCAGGGTTTCACTGTGTTGGTCAGGCTAGTCTTGAACTCCTGACCTCGTGATACACTCGCCTCGGGCTCCAGAAGTGCTGGGATTACAGGTGTGAGCCACCATGCCCGGCCGGTTCTGTCTCAAAAAAAAAAAAAAAAAAATCAACTCAAAAAAAAAAAAAAAAAAAATTCCTTGGGAGCCTCAGGTCCGCCCCCCCGCCCCCCGCCACTTTGACAGTGAGTATTGCCTGGGAGCCTGCACTGGGCACCTGTGGCCAGAGGGTGAGTGTAACAAGGGGCTGCAGGCCTCAGTGCTCTCCCATCCCAAGGGAGGCCAGGAGGCTGTGGTGGGTCCCTCAGGTGGGGCTGGAAGGCCAAGCTGGCCCTGGCACCTTGGGCAGCCTGACTTGGTCTTGGGAACAGAAGTCACAAGCTCTATTTCTCCTGTCCGCGTGGGATTGAAGCCAAGGGTCTCACAGAACCAGCTGATGTGCTGGGGCTTCATTCCCCCAGGACATGGACACAGACATTGATGGGGCAGAGCCCCAGAGGGAGGAGTCCCTGGACACTCACTCCACCAAAGGTACCTCCTCGTGGAAGCCGTCTGCCAAGCCCTGCTAGTTCCCCACATCCCTGGGTCGGCCCAGGGAAGACTGGGCTGCAGTCCCCCCATTTGGAGGTGAAATGGGAGTGGAATGTAGTTGGGGTGGCCACAGAGTAGGAGACACCGAAAGTGTGAGATGTGGACAGGGCTGAACAGGCTCCAGGGTCTCGTACCCCCGTAGCCTCCACCTGGGATGCCCTCTCCAAGTCTCATTTCTCCTCAGAGCCCCTGCCCTGTCCTCCAGAGTCTGAGCCCTCGCTCCCACCCCTGCCTAACCTGGGCCCCAGTGGTCCCTGGGAAGCAGCTGTTTGCCCAGCAGTTGGGAGCTGTGCTCTAAGAAGCAGTTGGCCAGTGGGTGGGGTAAGGCAGTCACACAGGGCCTCAGGCCCCTCCCTGGGACAGATAAGGATCTCTCTGGGTGCAGCCACCGGAAGGGTTGTTGGAGAACTGGGGAGACCCAGGGGGCTGGGCTTGCTCCCTCAAGGTCTCCCTAAAGGAGCCAGGGAGGACCTGGGTGCTGGAGCAGGGGTGGGCGCCTGGTGCAGATGCCTGCATGCAGGGTAGGGTGGGCAGTGTCACCTGGGGCCACAGAAAAACCTCGAGTGGGAGGTGGCCCTTCCCCCTCAGGAAGGGTGGTGGAGGTGTCCAGAGGTTGGCTTGTGGGGACCCATGGTGAGATTTTAGGCAGGCAAGCATAGTATAGGAACAGCCTCAGCCACACCGCAGGGGCCTGGCCTCAGGGGTCTTTTGTAGACATTGGGCCTCAGGCCCTTTTAGTCCCCACCTAGGCTGGGTGTCGAAAGCAGGTGAGGTCATCACTATAGGATCCTTGGGGTCTGACTGGCCCACCTCCCACGTGTCTCTGCCTCAGTTTCTCTGAGCACTGAGGCAGTGGCTGGTGCTGCCCTGTGGTCAGGCCCAAAGGCTGAGTGCCCAGAGGTCCAGAGAGAGTGGGTAGCATATTCTACCCCAAGCCAGTGCGCACACAGGGCTGCCGACACCTTCCTTCCCTGCTTGGCCCCAGCAACTGGGACCTGCCTGAACCAGTCTCCGGCCTGATCCCGTGGCCAGTTTTGTGCCACACACTTACTTCCTCAGTTTTGTCTTTAAATCAGCCCTTTTACATTGGAGTCCATTTACTGGGAAAAGAGACTTGGTATCCTTGCCTCCCACCCGTGGAAAGAAGCCCGGCTGACAGGGCTTTGGGACCGGACCCAAGTTTATTCCCAGTGACCCTCCCGCGGGTGGGCGTGCTCCGAGGTCTGGAGAAGAGGAGGCCCCGGCCCTCACCCTCTAACACCTGCGTCCCCTTCGTCCTGGCCACAACTGCAGCTTCTCCCGAGAGGCACTTCTCCAGTGCCTGCCCCGCGCTCCCAGCCCAGCGATCCCGGCCTCTGCCCCTGACCCGCACTCTCCTTCACCCTCAGGAGCGCTCGGCCCTGCTCCCCACCCCGCGCGGTGTCCCCCCACACCGCCTGCGAACCCCCATGCACGCGCGGCCCCGCCCCGCTCCCCCACCGCTGAGCACGCGCGCCCCACGCACTCACCAGGCCCGGCAGCCGCGCGGTCCTCGCGGCGCACGCGCTCAGGCCCAGGGGCGGGGACGAGAGGCCCCAGGCGGCCGCCCAGCCCCGGCCGCGCGGTGAATGAGCGCGTTGTGCGGCCGCCACGGCCCCAGCGACACCCGGAGCGGGGTCTGGCAGAGCTGATGCAGAGCTCCGGCCCCGGGGGTGGGCTGCGCGTGGGCTGCGCGCTCCATCTCGCCCGCCCAGCTCTTCCCAATGGAGGCCAGGCGGAGGGTGGGGCCTGGGGTCTGTAGACCGACCCCGGGGTTCCTGGGCCTGGGGGCGGGGATCCCTGTATCGGGCTCCTCTCGCTGCGAAGCTGGCCCTGCCAGATGACACTCGGGCACCTTGGGTGTCAGGCCAGGGACATCTCTGATGCTGGGGCTCCCCCCGCTAGCCCCAGTGTCAGGGGCCGCCGGGCTATCGCCTTGGGGTTCTGCAGAGAAAACCTGAAGCCCAGCTGGGCCTTCACTTTCCTCCAGGTCACCGTGTCCTGCTACTCCAACTCCGTGGGACTTTGGAATGCGCCTTTTGGGCATTTAATTTGTATCCAAGTGCTTCTCAAGTTACTTCTTTGCTACCACTGTGTTCTTTGGATAGAGGGGACGGGAGGTGGTAGGGGCTGGGTGGGGTGGACACCAGGGACTCCTGCTGCTCCTGCTGGGCGCCCAGCCCTGGGTACAGGAGCAGGTGGGGACCAGCAGAGGCGGGGCAGAGCAGGAGCCCACACCTGAAGGCTGTAGACTCCGGCTGAGGCTCTGCATTGATCTTCTACACCGTGGGAGGACCAGAAGGGAGGCGAGGTGTCCAGACCTTTGCTGTGGAGCTGGGGGTGCTGTGGCATGGGGAGATTGACAGGGACCTCTATAGGTCCAGATTCCAATCCATGGTGGCAACCCCGTCCCCCACCACTACAGATGGGGCACAAACCCAGCTGTCATAGGAGGTGCTCACCTTCTGCATGGCATCCGCAGGAATGCCAGCCTGGCCAGCCTGGTCTCTGCTTCTCCAGGCTCAAGGCTGGCTGCTATTCCATTCACCCCATCCCCCTTCCCTCAGGCCAGAAGCATCACCCACAGCCCCAGACCCCTGCACACCAGCCTCCTCACCCAGTTCACCCTCAGATGTTCAACTCCACATGGCCAAAACCGAGACCAGTCTCACTGCAAGCTCATCCACCCGCCCAGCTGCTCAAGCTGAAATCCACAGTTGCCCTGGACCACTTCCCCTACCCCCGCACCAGCTCACCTCAAACCTCATCAGTCCATCTGCTCCAGCCTCTGCTCACAACCTGCACAGCCACCACCCAGTCTGGGCACCATACCTCTCTGGGCCACCACCATGGTCCCCAGCCAGTCTTCAGCTCCCACCCTGACTCCAGTGGGCTGCCAGAGGGATCCTTGAAAAATGCCCTGGCACTGCTCACTCAGAACGCTGAAAGGCATCCCTGTTTTGCTCCTGGTCAGGGTCCCATGCTCAAAGCAGTCACTTCCAGACGCCGTGGAGCCTCATCTCCTATGATAGCCACCCTGATTCTGTCCCAGGCCCACCAGCTGCCTCCCTACTCCCTGATTATCATGTGCACATTCCTGTCCCAGAGCCTTTGCACTGGCGATGCCATCTGCTGCCTGGACGTCTTCCTGCTGGCCGGTCCCATCGTGTAGTAGCCTTAGATGTCTCCTCAGAGAGGTCCCTCACTGGCCATCAGGCTCCTCACTCCCTATCATATCCCCTTCACCAAAGATTCCCATTCCCCGATGATGCCTGTCCCCTTGGAACACAGGCCCTGTGGAAATTCAGCCCCGTCTGCAAGTGCAGTGGCAGGGCAGCCGCCTTCTCCCTTTCCTGCCCACCCATGTTGCCTCTTGGGGTGTGGGAGGGGAAATGGGGCACTCCTGGGCCTCCAGGAGGTACAGAGAACGAGGGTGGGTTGCCCACCAGGTCCTGCCTAGCTCCTGACCCCTGGCCCCTGCCCCTCAGGACCTGCCTGCCTCGTCCCACTGAGCCTCAGGGCTATTATGAGCCCCCACCCCAAGTCTTCCATCTCTTGATGGTGTCAGGTTGGGGGGTCTCCATGTACAGATACTCTAGTTCACACTCGGCTTTCATAGGGTTGATGATTTTCCAAGGGGAAGGGCCCGTCGGGAAGCCGGGATCTGAGTCCTGGGTGGCACCTTGCAGGGTCTCACATGCTGTGTTGTGGCCACGGTTCCAGCCTGGAGCATGGAGCTGTGTGGGCACCCTGCTTCCTGACGATGATCGTCCTTCTGCAGGGGGTCCACTGGACGGGGCCCAAGCTACAACTTCACCCACCTGGATGGGTACCTGGACCTTCTCACGGAGAACCAGCTCCTCCCAGGTGAGCTGTGGGCTCTGCCCTCCCAGCCCTCCTGCACCCTCTTGCCCTGCCTACCCTCTCCCTCACCCAGCCCCTCCGGGTCCTTGGATGTCCATTCAGGGCTGGCCTTGGTGCCGGAGCACGACCTGGCAGAGCATGGGTGTCATGTGTGGTGGGCAGTGGGGCAGCCCTCCTGTGTTCCAGGGTTTGAGCTGATGGGCAGCGCCTCGGGCCACTTCACCGACTTTGAGGACAAGCAGCAGGTGTTTGAGTGGAAGGACTTGGTCTCCAGCCTGGCCAGGAGATACATCGGTGGGCGAGCACAGGCCCCTGGTGGGAGCGGGGTGGGGGGGGGATGGGGCGGGGACAAGGGATACCTGCACCTTGATGGGTGCAGGCCCTTGGGCCCCAGGCTCGGGGGTACTCCTGGGCAGGCTGCACCCCTGTCACCTAGGCCACCGCCCAGGTCTTGGATCCCTTTGAGCCAGGGCTTCCTGATGTGGGGCAGGAGGTTGGCCTGTGTGGAGGTGGGGTTCATCTTAAGCCAGATGCCCTTCATCACTTTGCGCCCTCCCTCCGTGGGAGTCACTGAGGCGAGATTCACCTGTGCTGAGGGGACAGCAGGGCTCCTCTGCAGGTAGGTACGGACTGGCGCATGTTTCCAAATGGAACTTCGAGACGTGGAACGAGCCGGACCACCACGACTTTGACAACGTCTCCATGACCATGCAAGGTGTGCACCACTTCCTGGGATCCTGCCTCAGAGGAAGGCAGGAGCAGAGGCTAAGCCACTGGTCCCCAGGGCAGGTGTAGACGCAGCGCTCCCCCGGTCCAGGCTTCCTGAACTACTACGATGCCTGCTCGGAGGGTCTGCGCGCGGCCAGCCCGGCCCTGCGGCTGGGAGGCCCTGGCGACTCCTTCCACACCCCACCGCGATCCCCGCTGAGCTGGGGCCTCCTGCGCCACTGCCACGACGGTACCAACTTCTTCACCGGGGAGGTGGGCGTGCGGCTGGACTACATCTCCCTCCACAGGAAGGTGCGCCCTACTCCTCCGCCCCTCCCGGGGTTCTGCGCCCTCAGCGGCGGTGCCTGGGGAGGCGCTGACCCTGGTGGTACTGAGGCGGCCACACCCGCAGGGTGCGCGCAGCTCCATCTCCATCCTGGAGCAGGAGAAGGCCGTCGCGCAGCAGATCCGGCAGCTCTTCCCCAAGTTTGCGGACACCCCCATTTACAACGACGAGGCGGACCCGCTGGTGGGCTGGTCCCTGCCCCAGCCGTGGAGGGCTGACGTGACCTATGCGGCCATGGTGGTGAAGGTGGGCCGGCCCAACGCCCTTCGCGCCCCCCAGCCACCTTCCTCCTGGGACAGGACAGGCGAGCTGTGGCCGTGCCTCGCGGTCCCAGCCGCCCTGGACATCCGCAGGTCATCGCCCAGCATCAGAACCTGCTACTGGCCAACACCAGCTCCACCATCCCCTACGCGCTCCTGAGCAACGACAACGCCTTCCTGAGCTACCACCCGCACCCCTTCGCGCAGCGCACGCTCACCGCGCGCTTCCAGGTCAACAACACCCGCCCGCCGCACGTGCAGCTGGTGCGCAAGCCGGTGCTCACAGCCATGGGGCTGCTGGCGCTTCTGGGTGAGCCCGGGCCGCTGGGGTGGGCCGGCCAAGGCCCTCCAGGCTGGGGAGCGGCTCCTGCGAAGGCACCGCTGCGGGGAGCACGCCTCTTCCAGCCGCGCGCTTCCCGGCGTCGGCCTCCGCGTGGCAGGGCCTGGGGACTCCTTCATGAAGGGGAGGGGGAGCGAGTGGTGGGAGGCCCGGTCCTGGGTTGGGGGGCGGCGGGGCAACGACCCCACGCGGCGACGGTCCCCGCGTCCCGCAGACGAGGAGCAGCTCTGGGCCGAGGTGTCTCGGGCCGGGACGGTCCTGGACAGCAACCACACGGTGGGCGTCCTGGCCAGCGCCCACCGCCCCGAGGGCCCAGCCGACGCCTGGCGTGCGGCCGTGCTGATCTACGCGAGCGACGACACCCGCGCCCACCCCAACCGCAGCGTCGCGGTGACGCTGCGGCTGCGCGGGGTGACCCCCGGCCCGGGTGAGCTGGGGTCCCAGGGAGGTCTCTGGCCCCGCCAGGGCTCTAGAGGGGGCGGCCCGGGGAGCCGAGGCCTGAGCGTCGGGCCCCGCAGGCCTGGTCTATGTCACGCGCTACCTGGACAACCGGCTCTGCAGCCCCGACGGCGAGTGGCGGCGCCTGGGCCGGCCTGTCTTCCCCTCTGCCGAGCAGTTCCGGCGCATGCGCGCGGCCGAGGTGGGTGGGCCGCGGAGGGGCGAGGGGCTGGGCCGGGGTCCCAGGAGGGTGGGCGGGGGGTGGGGACCCGGGGCGGGGGCCCCGAGGCGGTGTGGGTAGGAGGCAGAGCTGTGGGCCGGGGGCGTTCGCCCTGAGGTCGGGCCGAGCGTCCCCAGCCCCCCTGGAGAACCCTGAGGACCCGCCACTGCGCCCAGGAACCTGTGGCCGCGGCGCCGCGCCCCTTCCCCGCCAGCGGCCGCCTGACCCTGCGCCCCGCGCTGCGACTGCCGTCGCTTCTGCTGGTGCACGTGTGCGCGCGCCCTGAGAAGCCGCCCGGCCAGGCAAGTGGCAATCCCCCAACCCGCGCTGTGGCCCGCCCGGACTCCTCCCCGACCCCATCACAGCCCCTCCCTCCCCCAGGTCACGCGGCTCCGTGCCCTGCCCTTGACCCAAGGGCAGCTGGTTCTGGTCTGGTCGGATGAACACGTGGGCTCCAAGTGCGTGAGTGGCGCCACCCCTCCCCCTGCCTAGTCCTAGGCACCCCCTGGGTCCCGACCCCTTCACCCATGTGGTCACTCGGGCTACTCGCCATGGCCCACCAGCTCCTTCTCTCGCAGTCCTGCGTCCCTGCCCTTCACCCTACACGCTGTGGGCCACTGCACCAGGCCCTGCCAGTGGGATGTGCATTCTCCTACGGGACATGAAGTGGACAGTTAGGCTCCAGCCCTCTCCTGTCTGGGCAGGAAGAGTGCCCAGGGGCTGGGGAGGTGCCGCGGAGGGGCTTGAGGGAATGGTGCTCTGGGCCACCTGCCCTGCCTGCCCTGGCCTTTGAGGACCGTCTTGACCCCAGCCTTGGTCTTGGCCTGACCTCCCCAGGTGCCTGTGGACATACGAGATCCAGTTCTCTCAGGATGGTAAGGTGTACACCCCAGTCAGCAGAAAGCCATCGACCTTCAATCTCTTTGTGTTCAGCCCAGGTGCGCCCACCACCCACTGCCCTGGTCTCAGCCACCCCATTCTTCGACCTCAGGGCAGTGTTGGGTGGGGGCCTTGAGAAGCCTGGGGTCAGGAGGCTTTTGGGCGGGGGCAGGTTCAGGTTGGCACACGTGTCCCCGTGTCTCCAGACACAGGTACTGTCTCCGGCTCCTACCGAGTTCGAGCTCTGGACTACTGGGCCCGACCAGGCCCCTTCTCCAACCCTGTGCCATATCTGGAGGTCCCTGTGCCAAGAGGGCCCCCAGCCCCTGGAAATCCATGAGCCTGTGCTGAGCCCCACTGGGCTGCACCTCCACTGGCAATCAGCGAGCTGGGGTTGCACTGTGCCCACGCTGCCCTCCCATCACCCCCTTTGCAATATATTTTTATATTTTATTATTTTCTTTTATGTCTTGGTACCAACACCCCCTTTAAAGCGGCTTTGCACATGTCAGTCTCAGGCCCAGGCTCTGTGGCTTGGCCCTGGGCACATTCCGGGGCAGCCTCCAAGGGTAAACCCCGGCGGCTGATGGGGACCAACTGGAGCGAGGCCGCTTTCCCCCTCACTCCCACTTAGACCACCCCCAAGCCGGGACCGGAAGCATGTTGAGCCCCTGGGCCAGGCTGGGGAGCCAGCTCAGCCCTGCCTACCCAGGGTTTTCCAGGATCACCCCTGGTGAGGCGGCGTGCCGGTCTCTTGCTCTCTTACTTGTTCTGCAGAGTGGGGAGCTGAGGCTGCGTGAGGGAAGACTCCTGTACCCCCGCATGGTGGAGGGTGGGATGGGGGCACACCTGTGCGACCCAGGCTGTGGCCAGCAGAAGAAAACAGTAGCGTCCACCATGGTCTGCGTCTTCTCACCACGGATTGTCTTGGCTCCGGCTTTGAGACATGGGAGGGCCAGATGAGGACAATTTGATGACTGTTTACAGAGATGGAGGTGCCAGGAAGCCACAGGGGAGCCCCCAGGGTACTCACCAGTCCAGGCAGGGCTGGGCGTCCTGGCAAGGAGCAGGGACCTTCTGCCCAGGGGTGTGGCCAGCCTGTGGGTGCTGTGCGCAGGAGCCCAGGAATCAAGTCCCCAGTGTCTCTTCCCTCCCTCCAGCATCCTCCCAGGGCCACCCTTAGCTGCACTCAGCCAGAGGGCTGGGGCACAGGGACACCACAGGTTTCCCTGGAGGCTGTCAGGGGCTCTGGTGGGGGTGGGGGGTGAGCCCGCTAGCTTCACTGCACCTCCCAAAGCCCATGTCCCCTGCCTGCCCCAACCAAAGTGGGCCTCCAAGGTGCTGGGGTGGGAGAGAGACCCCACAAGGGACCCTCCCCTCACTCCTGGACCTGGGTGTTGTGGCTTTTGGCAAAAATAGTCACATACACTCCAAGTGTCCCCCTCAGCTGGGATTCCTGGTGTGAGCCTGGCCACCAGGGTGGTAGGACGGACCCTCTGGAGGCAAGGTGGTGTCAGCAGGGGGTTCTGAGGCCCCACGGTGCTAGCATCAGTCTTGGCTGAACGGCAAAACTGCGTCTGTCTCCTTCCCCATGAGGCTCCGTCACCGTCTCCTCTGGTGGCCACCAGCTTAACGACACATCCCCACCCTCCAGTCTCACTGATGGGGCCACTTTGGGCTTTGCTGTGAATGGGTGAGGCTTGAGGCCATGCCAAGAGCCAGGGAAGCCGGCACTGGCCGTCAGTCACACACAGCCTCTGTCCCTGCTGGGCCAGTTTGTACCTGGAGCAGTTGCTAGGTGACAGGAAGAGACCGTATTTGATGTCCCCTGTCCACATGCTGCCCGTGGTGCAGCCAAGAGTGGCTGGATGTGCCACCTTGGTTCTGCTGTGGGGTGCCTCTTGCGTCTTTCAGAGCCAGCGCCCCCCACCCCGGCTATGACACAATACCTGTCCCCTTCTGGGCGACATCATGCACCGTGCATCCATAAACCACCTCTGCACTTTCCCTTCTTGTCCAGAGGCTGATAGGACTCTCGTCATGAAGCCCTCGGTGTGGGCTGAGGCAGGGGCAGTGATTCAGGAGGAGCAGTTTCATGGGAGCTCTGGTCTTCTGCCTACAGGACTTACTTCCAGACGCGCTGGGACCAAGTCTGGCTCTTCCTGGGCGGCCGAGTCACGTGGCCGTTGAATGCTGTTAGACCTCACCAGGGCAGAGGGGCATGCTTTCCAAGTGACAGGAAGAAATGGCCTTTTCCTGGGATGTGAGGTCTGGGCTTGCCGGGGCATGGTGTTTCTGCCAGACACTCCAGGCAGGGTGGGGTCTGCTGGGCACCCACACTCGCAGCAGGTGGAGGTGTCACAGCCTGGACCCGCTGCAGAGCCTCTTCTGACCAACATTACCTGCCATCCAGGAAACGGGTGGAAGTGGAACGCTTGGGTGTACACGCCACTCCCCAAGCCCAGATCCACCCGATGTGGCCTCCTAGAAGCGGTGGTGTGAGGCATGATGACAGAGCTTTTTTTTTTTTTCCTCTTTGAGACGGAGTTTCGCTCTGTCACCCAGGCTGGAGTGCAGTGGCGTGATCTCGGCTCACTGCAACCTCCTCCTCCCAGATTCAAGCAATTCTGCCTCAGCCTCCCGAGTTGCTGGGACTACAGGTACCCACCACCACGCCTGGCTAATTTTTGTAGTTTTAGTAGAGAAACTTTAGTAGAGTTTCACTGTGTTAGCCAGGATGGTCTCCATCTCCTGACCTCGTGATCCGCCCGCCTTGGCCTCCCAAAGTGCTGGGATTATATGCGTGAGCCACCACGCCCAGCCACGTCAAACACTTTTTATGTCAACTGAGATCACGTTGCTTTTCTATCTGTTAATATGGTAAGGTGCGGCCAGGTGCACTTTGGGAAGCTGAGGCTGCTGGATCACTTGAGGTCAGGAGTTTGAAACCAGCCTGGCCAACATGGTGAGATCCTGTCTCTTGTGATCTGCCCACCTCGGCCTCCCAAAGTGCTGGGATTACAGGTGTGAGCCCCGCACCCGGCTATGTCAAACACTTTTATTTATTTGTTTTTTTTCCAAGACGGAGTCTCACTTTGTCACCCAGGCTGGAATGCAGTGTGGCAATCTCAACTCACTGCAAACTCTGCCTCCCAGGTTCACGCTCTTCTCCTGTCTCAGCCTCCTGAGTAGCTGGGACTACAGGCGCTGCCACCACCCCTGGCTAACTTTTTGTATTTTTAATAGAGATGGGGTTTCACAGTGTTAGCCAGGATAGTCTCGATCTCCTGACCTCGTGACCGCCCACCTCAGCCTCCTAAAGTGCTGGGATTACATGCATGAGCCACCGCGCCCAGCCGTGTCAAACACTTTTTATGTCAACTGAGATCACGTTGCTTTTCTATCTGTTAATATGGTAAGGTGCAGCCAGGCGCACTTTGGGAGGCCGAGGCAGGTGGATCACTTGAGGTCAGGAGTTTGAAACCAGCCTGGCCAACATGGTGAAACCCCCGTCTCTACAAAAATACAAAAATTAGCCAGGCATGGTGGTGGTCGCCTGTAATCTCAGCTACTCGGGAGGCTGAGGCAGGAGAATCGCTTGAACCCAGGAGGCGGAGGTTGCAGTTAGCAGAGATCATGCCATTGCACTCCACCCTGGGCGACAGAATGAGACTTTGTCTAAAAAAAATATATATATATACACACATATAGAGATATATATAATCTATCTATCTATCTATCTATCTATCTAATCTATCTATCTATCTATCTATCTATATAGAGAGAGACAGAGAGAGAGAGAGAAAGTTCCATTGATTGATTTTCAAATGTTTTAAAACTGAGATGCAAAGAGAGAGAGAGAGAGGGGCCTGTGGGTCCCCCTCCAAGCATGGAAATAAAGGAAAGTCTCCAGTTCCTTCAGGAGAAATTCTGGGCCCCTCACCGGCCCTGAGAAGTAAATGAGCAGCCTGAAAGCAAAATGGCCCAAGCAGCTAAAATAGCAGCCAGGGGTGCTGGGGACGCTGGCTCCCATAGAAACCCAAGATTGCATCTTAGTATGTCCTGGAGTGACTTTTCAGAAGCCTGGGCCCCCACCAAATGGATCTACCGGCCCGCAGGCCTCAGATACAGGGAACCAGGGGCTGAACTCTGCCTGCTGCTCTTGTTCTGTTTCTTCCTGAAGGGGGCCTGGAGGGAGCCACACCCATGAGCCAGAGTTAACATTCTTTTCTGCTGACCCCAACTTTTTAAACAAAACTGGTCTTCCTTAGAGAGAGAGAGAGATTTTTTTTTTTTTGAGACAGTCTCACTCTCTCACCAACATTACCTAGAGAGAGAGAGAGAGGTGGAAGAGCAGTAGTGTGATCTCAGCTCACTGCAACCTCCACCTCCCGGGTTCAAGCGATTCTCTTGCCTCAGCCTCCCGAGCAGCTGGGTTACAGGCACCCACCACCACACCCGGCTAATTTTTGTATTTTTAGTAGAGCCAGGGTTTCAGCATATTGGCCAGGCTGGTCTCGAACTCCTGACGTCGTGATACACCCACCTCGGCCTCCCAAAGTGCTGAGATTACAGGCGTGAGCCGCCATGCCTAGCCCCAGGAAATCTTTGCATCTACTTATGACCTGGAATACCCCTCACCCTTCAAGATATCCCTCCCTTTTAGGCCAAAACCAATGTATAACCTCCATGTTTTGATTTACAGTCTTGCCTATGAATTCTATTTTCCTGAAATTTACCCCTGCCTTTAAAAACCCTTGCCTGCATGCCATCTGGGAGGCCAGCACTTAAGCACGAGCTGCCCTGGTCCTCCTTGCTTGGCATCTGTAAGGAAGCACCCTCTTGCCGCCTGCTGCAAACCTCGGTGTGGACATTGGTCTCATTGTGCTGGGTGAACAACCCTAGGTCAGCGCATTGACAAATTAGCTTTGCATCTCTGCATGAACCGCCCTTGATCACGATGTAGTTTTTTTTTTTTTTTTTGAGACTGAGTCTCACTCTGTCACCCAGGCTGGAGTGCAGTGGTGCAATCTCGGCTCACTGCACCCTCCACCTCCCAGGTTCAAGCAATTCTCCTGCCTCAGTCTCTGGTGTCACTGGGATTACAGGCGCGTGTCACCACACCACACCTGGCTAATTTTTGTATTTTTAGTAGAGATGGGATTTCGCCATGTTGGCCAGGCTGATCTCAGACTTCTGACCTCAAGTGATCCGCCTGCCTTGACCTCCCAAAGTGCTGGGATTACAGGCATGAGCCGCTGCGCCTGGCCTCCTTTGTCTTTTTATTACAGACAAGGTCTCACGATGCTGCCCATTGTGGACGTGAACTCCTGGGCTTCA